AACGAGCAAGCGAGCAACATGCGTTCAATGTCCCGCCCGCGCGACCCGACCCGCCCGGCTCGCTGGCTCGCATGCTTGCTCCAGCTAGCGAGCGAGCGAGCAAACGAGCACCATGCATTTCATGTCCCGCCCGCCCGACCCGACCCGCCCGACTCTTTCGCTAGCTTGCTCGAGCGAGCAAGCGAGCATTAACGCAGGATCGAGCCTTAGTAGGATTCTATTAGGGGCAGGTGGGGGGGTTCGAACTCCCCTCCTTTGCAACTCAGGGGGGACCCCCCCTGGGTTCGAAACCCCACTCCCCTGGGACACGGGAGGTGGGGGCCGGTTCGATCTCTTCTTTTTCCTTCTTCCCCTTGGAATGGGGGGGTTGTGGCCCCCCCCGGTTAGGGAGGCCGGTGTCCACGGGGGGGCCCCCCCAGTTTTCCAGGGGCGCTCAATGTTTTGAGGGTGGGGGGCTCCCCCAGTTCCAACGTGTCAAGGGATTTTTTTCAGGCAAGCGTCCGCGGAACGCGTTCTCTCGGATGTTGAGTTCTCATTGTGCAGAGCAATTTATTATTGATTCCCCCCTGTGCGATGCCCGTTGTGTATTTTTTTATTGGAGTGTCTGTCCTGGGGCGATAACCTTGTTTTACTACAGGAGGAAGTCTTGTGCCTCCGCCCGTGCCCCGGGCCCCCGCGTTACAACCACAGCGGCTCCCGCCCGCTAGTGCTCCACGGTCTGCCCAAACCCACTCTCGCGCGGGGGACCTCTTCACACTTTCTATCCGGTGTCGCGCCCTCGCGTGGGAGCTTCCTCGCGATTGATGCAGACGCCGCGCCCTCGACAACCGGGACTCAGGCTCGCGCTCTATCGCTCGAGGCGTCCTCGCGATTCATGCCGCACTGACGCTCGAGCGACCGGCGCGCTCGGCCTGGCCGTCGGGGCCCGCCCGCCGGGCCCGCCTGTCGGGGCCCGCCCGCCCGACCCTTCCGTGTGGTTCTGCCGCTTGCCTTCCTGCTCCTGGGGCCCCTCCTGCTGGTCTCTCTCGCGCCCTTTGCCCTCCCCCTTGGTCTCTTCCCTCTTCCCTCGCTTCCGGGTTTGAGGGGCTGCGCCT